CACCCAGTTAAGATCTATCTAGACAAGTGACCTACATAAACTGTGAGATAATATAAGGATGCAGTTTTTTTTTAAAGTATGTTGCCTATAAGATGTAAAAATAATAAAAACGTGTTTATTGTATGATTTACATGTCAGTAGAAGTAAAATGTGTGCCAATGTAGCATAAAGGACTGGAGTACAAAGGGAATTAAACTGTAATTAGGTTCTTGCATCGAGTGTAAAGTGGCAGAGCATTAAAGTTTGTGATAAATTGAGAAAGTTCCTACAGCAACCACTGAAACATGGCAAACAGAGTTAACTTCACAGTCAGTTAAGGAGTTGCAACACTGAAGATTACTTCTCAAGGTAACCAAAAGGAGGCAGGAAAGGAAGAACAAACAGCGAACGAATGAAAGAAGGTGGACTTGACCCCACCGACTGAGGTGGGTGTGAACGCGCTCGACCTGTTCCCAGCAGGACGGAGTGACTCTTCCAACTCATGTTCTGGCGCCGACAGTAAGCAAACTGGACAATCACACAACAACTCTTTTATACAGTGGGTGACAGACGGCACGTGACTGTCTCAGAAGAGAAGGGACCAGGATGCTGTAGCCTCCTGCCCGAAGCCCGCGTCAGAGTGTGGACCGGAGCGGCTGGGCAGTGTGCTGGTTCTGCCGAGCTGGGAGGGAGGGGCCGGGCCCTCGGGGAAGGTCAGACACCCTCGGAGAGGAGGCCTCCCAAACACCAACTGGACACGCCCAGAGGAGACGCCACAGAGCCTCTGGAGGGAGTGAGGCCCCGTCGACGTCTTGCTCCTGGACTTCTGCCTCCAGACCTGTGAGAGAATAAATTTCTGAGCTTTCACGCTGCCTGGTTTGTAGTAACCTCTCCCAGCTGCCACCCTGGGAAACCAACACAGGTGGCAAAGCTCTGGGTTTAAACCCACCACCCTCTCCTCCTGACCCTGCATCCAACCTGTCAGGGGTTCATTTGATGCCCTGTGTCCTGAAACAAGTTATTCAGAACCAGAACACTCATGTTCTCATTCTTTGTAGCCACAGAACATCCGGCACCACATGTTCTCCCTGGAAGACCGAAATTTGGGGCGTGAACTGTCCGACTAAGCCCAGCTCCTACCAAACTTCCACGTGACTGAGCGCCAGTCACACGTAATTATGCCCAGGATCTGGTAAAGCACAGAATCGGCCAACCGAGGAACACGCTGGCGTTAGACGGTACCACCCACAAAGTCACACGTCCTTATAGTCACGATGCCCCACCCCTAAGGGGGCTCTGATCCGAGTTGTCTGAGGACGGACAGTGCCCCCCAGGCAGTACCCACGGCCTGATCCTTCCCACCTGTTACCCACACGGTGCTGGGTGTGGGCTTTTGCGTTACCTGTGTGTCGCTGCAGCTTCAGCTGCGGGGACCTACAGGGAGCAGCCTTCCCGGCGGGGACGTGGGCTCCACGGATGTTCATCCCTGATGTGGTTTTTCAGAAATTCTACAGCAAAGGCTCAAATCAATCAAAGAATCTCTGAAATAGCCACTTTGGGACAAATCCTTTGCCACCTCCTTCAGTCTTTCTACCTCTTTCACTCAACGCGGCCTGATTTGGGCAACCTGGGCAAGCAAGTTGCATCTACAGCAAAAGAAGTGCCGAGTCCCTGAGAGCAATTCCTGGGAACTCAACTGGGAGGGCACCTGTCCCCGGAGAAGAATTCACTCACAGACGCACAGGCCTCGACTGACGGGAAGAGCAAACTGGACAATCACACAACAACTGTTTTATACAGTGGGTGACAGAAAGCACGTGACTGTCTCAGAAGAGAAGGGACTGGGATGCTGTCCGCTGGCAGGTGGAAGGCAGCGAGGGAGCCGTGCGCACCCTCCGGAACCACCCTCCCCAGGCTGCCTGGGTGTGTGTGATAGGGACACGTCTGCGCTTTTTCTGAAAGTAAAGAGCAGTGAAGGAGGGGAGAGAAGAGCCTTTGGAGCCAGGCAGACTTGGGTTCTGATCTCCTTTGCAAAATCAGCAATGAAGGTGCCTCTTTCCAGGGCTGCTGCGTTGGCCCAAGACGCTGTGTATGAAGTGCCCGTCACAGTGCTGGGAACGTCATCGGTGCTCAGCAAATTGGCAGATACTGTCATCTGCGGCAGAGAAACCAGACACCAGACCCAACTCCACCACCTACTAGCTCTGTGATCCAGTATCTCAGTTCCATCTGCAAAACAGGAATAATAACAGTGATGACAAATTAGACCACAGATGATAAAAGAGTGAACACCGTACATCACAGGGTACTATCCTGACCTTTGAAGTTTCTTCTGATTCCAGCAGTCCATAATTTATGATCTGATAAAGGGGTGATCTTGGTGGCACCCTGGTTCCCAGTGAGATGAGAAGGTTTACCAACTAATGGAGCTTGGTTGCTATAGCAACTCAGGTATCATTTTCAAAGTAAGAATGTTAATGTTCAGATACACATCTTGTATGATGTCCCAGGGGCTTCTGAACTGTAGATAAAGACATAGAACAAAGCTGTATTTTAGGATCAAAGCCAGCACTAGAGGGGAACTGATACTCTGCTAAGCTGGGAAAACCAGTACTTGCCGTGGCTTTTGGTAACACGACGTAAAGACACTCAATGTATTTTGAAAACCCCAAATTCTCTTGTAGAAAATGTCAAGCACTATCAAGCCATTGTGCTCTCGCCACCTGACAAACACCCTCTCATCACAAGCAAGCAACTTTTCCCCATTATGGATTAAAAATAAAGTAAATGGGATTAAAAATAAGGTGAAGTGGTTCTATTGATCTAATAACTTCTGAAGCTGTTGAGAAAGAGGATGTGATATGTACACAGAGAGGAGAGAGGGAGAGAGAAAATGTGTTATATATAATGCCATATATAGTGTGTAACGCCATATGTAGTGTGTAACTCCGTATATAGTGTGTAA